ACTGTTTCCTCATGGATGTCCAATCGCAACCCTCAGCTGGTCGTTTTCCTTATCAGGCTCATACCAAGACTTGTTGCATTGGACCCTTCTGCCTTCCTTGTCCCCGAGTAAGTCTAAGGTATTTTCGGACTTCAGTCTCAGTTTTGTATTTAAAGAATTTTTCTCATTTTAGTTTCTGCACCAGTCACTCTTTTGTTTGTTTCGCTACTGGCTCACAGAAATATATTTGCATATGTCAAACGTGGTTGTAAGCAATTATGAACTACTGTTTTTAATAAATCAGAACGAAATGATGTTTTGAGTTTATCAGGAAATGGATGCGCCATGAGTTGTTTTATTGTGAATATTATAATGTTAGTAACACAGCGATGTCGATAGAGAATTATATTCGCCGACGTTTCGGTTACCGTCGCTAATCTTTCTCAAGGCAGGTACGAAAATCAAGAATGGATAATTTCGCCGGATTGTAGATTATGGGACCCACTTAGCCATATATATATAACACCAATCTGTTCAGATACGGCGCCAAAATAACCATGGGTGAACGGAAAAAATATAGGTAAGAAAGCGGAGAAAATAAAACAGTCAACTTCGTGGAGTAACATTTTTTTGTTTGTTTACTGCACGCTATTTTGAGTATTTTTCTTTTTTGTTTATTTTTGGGATTGCAAACAGGAGAGGATACATTCGCGCCACTAACTTCGATGTTCGTTGCCATATCCCGCAGTGTCACCAGCCAGAGACAATCAGATTCTTTGGGACCGGAGAGTCGGGAAACCCTAACGGAAGCCAGATCCGAGCACAATCCCTTTACTTAGCCAATTGCTTAATGGAATCTTTGTTAAATGTGTTTGAAATCACCTTCCTCTTGCTGATATTTAATCTATACCACTAAATGTTTCTTTACCTCCTGTCTGCTTTATATTGCTTGCATGCTGTCACAGACGCTATAAACCGGTCATGGAGTGGCTATTTCAGTGCCTACGTCGCGACCGCGAGAAACCTACCGTGTTGATCAGTTTGGCATTGATCGGATATCACATGGGTCTGGAGTTTATCAATCGAGGTTTTCTCACCCAGTTGTTACCGTTGATTCAGTCTTATTTGTCTGTGCAGAAAGAAGGACGTAATAAGTAAGTCTATTTTCTCCTAATCCACTTAATTGGATCCCTATATTTGAAACTGCAGACACATTCCATAGCCATCGAATTGTTAGTTATAAAATCCAGTTTGTTTTGCAGTATTTGACTGTCAGTCGGCGGTTGATTGTGGTTGATGTAACGGTAATCAAATGCGCACTACTACTGGAACGGTCGAAGCGCCAACAGAGGCCTTAATGCTGTGAGGGACAAGACTTGCCTACGTTTATTGCCCAATAAAATTTCGGTAATTTATCGATACCATTTTACTGTCTTTGGCCTGATATTTAATAGATGTTTTACCACTCCATTGCACTCGATCCTCAACCGTGTGATTCCGTGCCCCTTTTCGGTTTATTGCCGTTAAGCGCTGCTAACTACTTGAGTGAGCAAAACTCTGAGAGCTTGTTATCGATACTAAGTTATAGAACGCCAGACAAACTGAGTACTCAAGAAAATTACATCACTGAGTTGGAGCTACTGTTTATTGCACTCAATCATAGCATATCTTCGGAGTTGGTTCTGCGCCCCATCCACTAATGGAAGCCAGCGAAGCGAAAACGCAAGGTTGTTATTGTTTGCAGGCTACCCCGTTCAGATACCATGGAATTGAAATGATTTCTGCACCTTTTACCTAATAATTCGTAATATTTTTGGTTCAGAAAGGTCATTATATACACCTT